TTTCCAGGACTTTATATGTATTATGTTAGGGGAGGATGAGTTTCCTTTAAATGATTTGTTTTCACAAGAAATTCTGCTGTTAGGTTTAGCATGAAGGAGTTGGCCTAATTTTGTGGGCTGTGGTTCCAATGGCAGCTTAATTTCCACAGCTTTTTAGTGTTGTTTCAGTTTTCTTGGATTATGTGGTACTTCTGTGATTCTGATACTAATGCGTGAGCCTCAGTTATCTCTGCTGGTTCTACTTGAGGGAGGCAGAAGGGTTTTCCCCGGGCCTGCTGCCAATATGGCTTGGTGGTGGACTGTGGTGAGATTCTCTTACTGGTGTCCCTGCTCATTATGAAGTCTGTGGGTAGAGAAAGGAGCATCTCAGACCATGAGGACAAAGAAGATACCTAGATCACGTCATTGGCTGTTCAGGGGTCCCTTTTTAAAACATTGACTATTCACCTATCTCTGGGTTGGGGGGAAGAGTCTCAAGTCTGCAGAGACAAAATAAGTTCCCCAGATACTGCAATAGCTGGATTTCTCTAGCAAATTCTGCTTGCCTGCTTCTGTATATCTCAGCAGAAGAGTCTTGGACCTGGTGGTGGGTAAAGATAATGCTCCTAATGGCTGCTTATTTTTAATGGGACATCCAATTGCTACCTCCTATTAGTCATGCTTAATGGGACATCCAATTGCTACCTCCTATTATTTATTTTGATTCTCCTTTCTGGTAGTATAGCCTTACATGATGTTGCCAGAGAGATTCCGATGCTGGGAAACAATAAATCTACCTGGGCATGTCTATTGCTAGGTGGAGACTGGGAAATTCATGCCTGGAGTAGCCTCCTTTAGTCATGTGGAGAACAGGGAAAGCCTTGCCACTATGCTGTTCCTCCAGCCCTGGGGTTCCTAACCAATGTGTTGCCTTTTTACCACCTTTCAGAGTCTCTTAGGCTTGGTGTCAAGGAGCAAGGAAAAGTAGGTCTATAATATCTTTTCCTGACCAGAAGTTAAAAGTATTTTTAATATCATTTTAAAAGCATCAAAATGCCTGCACTCAATGAAGAATTACCAGTGTGAGATTGGGGGAAGAATAAAATCCTGAGAAGTGAGTGTAGCACGCAGGACTGGGGCATTGGCCAATCCGGAAGTAAGCTTTGTATAACTGAAGGTCAAAAGTTGAAGTACAGAGCTTGTCAAGGGTGAAAGGTGTGTTCATTAACCACATACTGCTTGGAGTGGGATCCCAAAGAGCTGCCCCCTACAATAAACTCAAAGCAAACCAACTTAGCACCTGTTTGTTGAATATAAACAATCAGGAAAACTGGTTCCTGCCTCCAGCTCAGGCATTAATGTCATGAAAGCCACTTCAGTTTGGACAAGGTCCTTGTTAAATCAAAGCTTGAATGATCTCTTAGATCTGTCCAACTCTATAATTTCTAAGTTTGTCCCCCTTCGGTTAATGAATAGTTCAAAAAATTTTAAGAATTAGAAGAGCTAAGTCTTTCATTCATTTTCTAGAAAGAAACCAAAACTAGTAATAGTATGTCAGTTTTACTTAAAGAGTCAGAAAGCATTTTGAAAAAGCAACATAAGGGCTGACCCCATTGTCTAGTGGTTAAGAGCTGGATCAGGGCTGGCAGGTGTTATAGTGGTTAAGGCACTGGACTCCCACATGGCTCAAGTCCTGGATTGAGGGGCTTGCTTTCTCTCTTCCTCTCTTTCTCTCTGTTTCTGTTACTCTGTGGTCAGAATGAAAAAAAAAAATAGTGATGATGATGAATAAAGTTAAATAAAATAATTCTTTTTTTTTTCTAAAGAACTGGATTCTACATGGCCCCCTGCAGTTTGAAGCCCAGTTCTGCTGGCTTGAAAAAACATGGTAGGCACATGTTCAAGCATGTCTCAAATCTAGATGGGATGGAGAAATGGACAAGGGTTTGCAGCATGACCATTGCCTCACCTGGGGGGAAGGTGCTTTCTCCTTCTCTTGTCTCTATACCCTCTGGCAATTTATGAAAAAAGAGAAGTAGGCTAGCAGGTGGCAAGGTGGCTAGGGTGCTAGATCCCATGTGACTGACTCTGCAGTTTGAGTTCCAGACCCAGCAACTTGGAAACATGCTAGGCACATATGCATGTATGTCTGAAATACCAAGAGAAGAATGGGTTGAAGGGATTGCGGTGCGACCATCCCTCTCTGGGGAGTGATTACTCACTTTCTTTCTCTTTGCGTATTTCTCTGGGAAGTACACGCACCCTGTGGCAAAAAATCTGAGGAAAAAAAGCAATTTAAAGATAAATGGCAGGTGGGAGAAGGAAAAATAGTGAAATACATTGAAAAAGAAAAAAAGTGTATCGATTAATTGTACAACATGGTTGGAGGAGAATATTGAGCAAAAATGGGGCTGTTGGGGGAATTCCATTTCTCTGGTTGGAGGAGAATATTGAGCAAAAATGGGGGTGTTGGGGGAATTCTATTTGTATTAAAATAGTAAACAAAAAATTTACTCAGATATTTCTTGACCAGCAATTGGCGTAATGGCTATGTCACGGGACTCCCATGTAGTCAACCGCGCTTCAAGTCCTGGATTCAGTGGCTTAAACTCATGTCGGACGTGTGTGCATGTGTGCCCAAAACTCAGTCGGAAGTGTGTGCATGTGTGCCCAAGATCCTGAGAGCATGGAGAAGGGATTGCAGTGTGATCATCTCCCCTAGGGGGTGATTTCTCACTTTCTGTCTCTGTCTTTTTGGCAAGCACATGGGCCCTATAGAAAAAAAAAAAAACCCTCCCCCCCCCAAAAAAAAAGAAAACTAGTACGATTACCTAGTCTAAATTTTATTTCCACATGTTAATCTGTATTCATATTATAATGTTTGACCATGAATATGTGCAAGAGGCCAATTGTGGTGGCGCAGCAGTAATGCAACACTGCCCCACACTGAGACCATATGGAAAGGGACTGTGTTTGTGTCCTGAAGTCTCCCTGTACACATTGTGATTGGTCCTGGTTGGCTGAGTTTGGGGTGTATCATGGCATGAAGACCCTGTGGGGGCGCTTATCTCTCTAACTCTCCGTCTCTCTTTCTTGGAATAAATACACACACATACACATACTGAGATGAAAAAACATTTCAGACAGAACAAAACGAAAAAGCTATGAAAGGATGATAAATGATGAGATTTTCCCAGAACAGTTTAAGATTCTATTTTCCTTTAGATAAACTCATCTGCTGATATTTTTATAGGAAAGTATCTGTAAATAAAAGAAACCACTCAATAATCAAATCTTTGTAACAGAATTTTAATGCTTTCATCACTGTTACATAATTTACTTTCTTCTCACTACTAAGGTAACAGTACCTTCTAAAATGAATTTAATGCGACAATTAATTTAAATACAGATAGCGTTTGGATAGTAAAGCTTTAAAATGGACTAATTTTGTCTCCCACTTACACTGACAGTTCACTACTATGCATTAGTTCATAGTTACAAAGTAAGTCAACATGAGTGATCACATAATCTGAGATGTCCAATCCAGAGTCCAGACTTCTGAGGAATTTGCTCTCCAGCATCTGAGCTTTCAGCTTTTCTGTCTATAGACCATTTCCAGTTATTCCATTCAATCCTTTTAAGAAATTTTTAGAGTTAAATGAGAATTAGGGACTAACATTTCTTAATGGTATTACTTTCAAAATAATTCATTCACCCAATTTTAGGAAGCACTTAAATTTAGTTATACTTTTAATTATCTCACTTGTTCTTCACATCTAACTTTTTTCCTAGAAGTTCCTTGTACGTTATTATCTATGTATTAGCCATTTGTACTTAAATATGCATAAAATCACAGTATTACCTATGAGACATGTGTCTGAAAACAGCTTTCTATTTTCTTTAAGGAATGCTTTTCTTTCCAAGGCTTACACAATGCTATGCCTCTCCCAAAAGTCCTACTTGGATATAAAGCACAGCTTTAGATTGTTGGAATGAGGGGCTGAGATGATCAAGCAAGTGAAAAGTACTCTATCTAAGGGGTGGACATCTACTTGTGAACTTGGATTTATCTTTGATCCCACTGAGTACCAGGTAGGTAGGTATTCAGATATTTCTTGAAACAGGGCTGTACAATCTTAGTTCCTCTGTGTCTCAGTACCTTTTACTACTAAAAACTTTTTCATTAGTTTTTGCTGTTAGGCACCTTTACTACTGTTCTGGGTATGTGGACATCTTAGATGTGGTCCTACCAAATATTTTCCCCGCGGGCTCCACACAGCTCTTTCTAAGGACTGAGTGGCCTACGTTTTACTTTACATGGTTTGGGCTCTTCTGCAACTCAGAATCTTTAAATGCCCAAATGTAAAGATGTTTGTGCTTCTGTTACTATGTGCTACCAGAAAGAAAGCAAACATTGTTTTACCTAATTTGATTTTTAATGTGATTATCAGTGATTTAGTTTCAAAGAAGCAAATAATTACAGACAGCAACAAACTGCTGGGTGGTACCTGATAACTTCCATTCAGACCTCTGCTGAACTTTATAAAAAAAGAAATGTATATTCGTCCATCTTTGTTATTGTTAAAATCAGAGAAACATAAGTAATCAGGAAATAGCAATAATTTTATGACAGAGACAATATGTTTAGAATAAATCTGTCAGTATTTGACTCTCTTTGGGGGAAAATAAATGAAAACCCATGTCTCTGGAAAAAAATATGATAAGAATTATCCACAAGTGCAATCTGCTGCTGTGACTGCATTTCTCCAAAACTCAAGGGACAGGGCTGTCATGTTTGATTGCCAAAGTTTTAACTTTATTTTTGTTTTAAGGAGACAGATTTTTTTGTTTTTAAGATTTTTGCTATAGGGCACATGTACTCTCCTGAGAGAGAGATGTTCAGAGGGAAAGTGAGAAATCACACCCCGGGGGGATGGCCATGCCCCACCCCTTTTCCTCCATTCTCTTCCTGGGATTTGGGGCACACATGTACACTTTCCCAACCTGATTTCCAAGCCACCAGGTCCAGGACTCAAACTACAATTGGCCATGTGGGAGTTTAATACTTTAATTACCACACCACCTGCAGGACCCAAGGAGATAGATCCCTACCTTATTCAAGGATTACTAGAAATTTCATTCAGTTTAAACAATGAATAACAGGTATTCTGTGACATGGTCATGAAATGTTGTCATTTACAACAAAGTTCTAAGACACAATTGTCCATAAAGTGCATTTCAAGTAAAAGTACCCATTAGGAGAGTAATTTAAAGTGCAATGTATAAGGTACTTTAAATAGTGCAATGTTGCTAAATATTTACATTATATGTGTCATAAAGCAAGATTTTATCCACCCCTAAATAGAGAGAACAATGGAGACATACTCTCATATCTTTAAACCTTTGCAGATATGAGTATTTTGGCCCATGGGTGTGTGTATGCATGTGTGTAGCTGTGCCTCAATTTTATACACACACACACACACACACACACACACACACATATACTTGATGGTCACTGCAAATATTTGGAATTAGTTTCCTAGAATTTGAAACCTTTAAACACTGGCATAATTATGAAATCGCTACTTCAATATGCAATTCTACTTAAAAGTAGCATTAGGCTTGTAATAATGGTTGAGTTAGTTCAGCCTGCATATCGTGTAAGGCAGGTATTTGACTATTAATTAAATGTTTAATAAAAACTACAAAAAATATAATCACTATAATGATGCCAAGTGAGACGCCTATGAAATAAGGGTATAAGTCCTCCACTTGTTCATAGTCACTTGGCTCATCACTACCAATAAGGAATGTAGTACTCTTTGTAGAAGGAATTAGTTTCGGAGTTGCAGAATTGAGCAGATCCTGGACATTCCTGAGTGATCCGTTATGTGGTAAGGCGGTGATATTGAGAAGATGGCACAGAAGTGGGTATAGATCTGTGGAGTTCATGGTTTCTTTAGTGAAGTTCTTTCTGAAGGCAGGGCCATGGGCTAAAAATATTGGATGCATTTCTGCTAATTCATTATCATAACCATGGTTGCCCACTGTAAAGAGAAATTCATGAATAAGTAAGTTAACCAGATGGCTTTCAAATGGAAATAATTGTTGCATAGTCAATAAGTTCAGTACTTAAATACAAATTTCATCTAATTTGACTATAAAAATAATCTTTAACTTAACAAAAAAAAGTCTGCTATTTATTATCAATGTCACAGTTTACTTTAGGAGATGATTATAAATCTTCCCCATAGGCCGATACTACAGTAAACAGCAGAGGAGAAAGGGTGAAGAACAAAGTTCAACCAAGCCATGGAAATATTCAGAGTGATATTTTTTCCAGTATCTGATAAATGAACATTTAGCACATACTTACTGCATATCTTCTATGTTCCAATTCTTGTTCTAAAGATAAAGGGATGGAGGTGTTCCTAGTCTTATCAATGAAGAGAACACCTCATAATTACCAGTTAAAGAAGAAATATAATTCATAAAGAAAAAATAAGATTCCATAAAAATCAAACCTCTAGTTACAGCTACCATGCACTAAAAAACAAAGGTCGGGGGTCAGCCGGTGGCATAGAGGTTAAGGTGCTGAACTTCCATGTGGCCAACTGTGATTAGAGTCCCGGTTCCAGCTGCTTGAGACTCATACCAGGCACATGTACATGCATGCCCCAAATGCCAAGATGAGAATAGAGGAGAAGGGATTGTGGCATGGTTGTCCTTCCTAGGGGGTGATTTCTTACTTTTTGTCTCTCTGGTGAGTGTATGTGCCCTATAGCAAAAATCTCTTAAAAAAAAAAAAAACCACATACACACACAAAACAAACAACAATAACAACAAAGGTCAAGGCTTGTAGAGTAGGAAAACTTTGACTTTTATGGTTCAGACCAGGATCTAACTTAGTATTGTGTGCTTTGGTGTAACTATAAAGTAAAAACTGTGGGGTCTTCTGAGGTATATGTCAAGTGAAATAAAATTGAAGAGTGAAAACTACATAATACAAGCTACATTTTAAAGGCATGTGTGCCTAATATATCAGGATACAAGTCAAAGGAGCTATTGCTGATAAGATGATAACCTAAGAAAGCTGGCAGGCTTTATTTTAAAGGTGGTAGGAAAATGACTACTAAATCAGTTTCTTTCTTCCTTTCTTTCTTTTTCTTTCTTTTCTTTCTTTCTCTCTTTCTTTTTTTGGAGAGGTTTTTGCTATAGGGCACGTGCGCTCGCCGGAAAGACAGAGAGACAGAGAGAAAGAAAGCGAGAAATCACTCCCAGGGGGGATGGCCACGTCACAATCCCTTCTCCTCTGTTCTCCTCTCAGGATCCTGGGCACACATGCACACGTGCCCAGTGTGAGTTTAAGTCACTGGGTCCGGGACTTGAACCACAGTTGACTACATGGGTGTCGAATGACATAGCTGTTATGCCAACTGCAGGTCCCTACTAAATCAGTTTCTAATGCTTGTATTTGCTACACAGAAATATGCAATGGGAACAATAAATAGCCCCAAAATTTTAAATCAATTTCTCTGGAAGTCATGAACTAACCCTTTGTCATCTCAAAGGAATTTGAAATCTGCCTGACAAAATTCAACTAAAGAACTCATTCTAGATGCCATGAATTTTTTGAGTTCATTCAAGTAAAAATAATGCTGGATTTAGGGATCACAGTAATTATCTGACAGGGTCCTATGCTATTGTATTTAGTTAACTGACAGAAACATTCAGGAAAGTGCCATTATATAACTTGTAATTGATGGGATGATTTCTGTGTTCGCCTCTATGAGAAGTTGGGAATCTCAATTTCAGTCACGGAGGCAAAAATAATTCTCTCCTATCACACTTCTTTTTAGGAAATCAGATTTAAAATGAAATCATTATGACTTACATAAAGCCTTTCCCAGGAATTGGGACTTCATTTTGCAGTGGTAACCACTACCATAAATGCTTGATCTAGTAGACAGTATTACTAATGAGTGCCTAGGATCAGTGGTTCTCAAACTTCAGTATGTATGTACGTAAAACAGATTGCTAAGCTCCGTATTCACAGATTCTAATGCAGTAGGTCTGGGTTGGGCCCAAGAATGTGCATTTTTAACATGTTTCAGGTCATTTGGATGCTGCTGGGCCAGTGAACACACTTTGAGAACCACTGTTTTTGCTGTGTGTGTGTGTGTGTGTGTGTGTGTGTGTCTTTAATCAGTATAGAGCAAACGCATGTGTGTGTGTGAGAAAGACAGACAGAAACAGGCAGACAGACAAGCATCCTCACAAAGTTTGCTCCCACCACAACCCCATTCCTCCAGTCTTCAAACTCATTGGATCTTGGGCATTTGTGTGTGCCCAGCATGTTTCAGGCTGACTGGGCCAGGGATTCCAACCACGGTCACCATGTGGGATCCTGCTTCCTAGAGCAGCACATTACCACTGCACCAGGAAGCTGGCCCAGAGAACCACTGCGTGTGGATATTATGGCTTAATCAAATTGTGGCCATTCATTTGTTGATGTTATTTCATGAACATGATGTAACATAAATAGGAACACTATTAAGGTTTCCTATCAAAGAGAGGTGACCAATCGATTGTGTAATTGTAGATTACCAAACCAAAATTTTCAGAGAGCCCTTAATTTTATGTTAACCATAAAACACAAGTCTCCTCAAAGATCGCATTCCTTTTTTTGAGCAGTCTCTCTAACTTAAGGGCTATCTAGAAATACACCGAAGTCTGAACATAAAAAGGTAGAAATTATTCTTGTGGCCCAGAAATTATTTTTTTCTAGAGAGATTTTTGCTATCGGGCCTGTATGCAATTTCAGAGAGCCCTTAATTTTATGTTAACCATAAAACACAAGTCTCCTCAAAGATCGCATTCCTTTTTTTGAGCAGTCTCTCTAACTTAAGGGCTATCTAGAAATACACCGAAGTCTGAACATAAAAAGGTAGAAATTATTCTTGTGGCCCAGAAATTATTTTTTTCTAGAGAGATTTTTGCTATAGGGCCTGTATGCAAGCTGGAGAGACAGAGAGAAACAGAGACAGAAAGCGAGAAATCACCCCCCAGGGAGGATGGCCATGCTGCTATCCCTTCTCCTCCATTCTCCTCTTAGGATCTTGGGTACACATGCACATGAGTGTTAAGTTGCTGGTCCAGGACTTAAACCATGGTTGACAACATGGGAGTCCAGCAACCTAACCATTATACCATTTGCTGGTCCCCGGAAATTTTTTTTTTTTTTTTGGAGAGGTTTTCGCTATAGGGCATGTGTGCTCGCCAGACAGACAGAGACATAGAGACAGAAAGCGAGAAATCACCCCCCAGGGAGGATGGCCATGCTGCTATCCCTTCTCCTCCATTCTCCTCTTGGGATCTTGGGCACGCATGCACATGCGCCTGGTGTGAGTTTTAAGCCACTGGGTCCGGGACGTGAACTGCGGTCGCCTACGTGGGAGTCCAGCGACATAGCCATTACGCTAACTGCTGGTTCCCACCCAGAAAATTATTTTTAAAGGCTTTCTTAAAACAATTTTCTGGTTCAGTCTGAACAGCACAAGGAGGGTGCTGCTGTGGGAGGCTGAGGCTATATGGGAGCCTAGATTTGGTTTCCAGCCCAAAGCAGGTATAGTAGTGCATACCCATGGTCCTAGCTGGCTGGGAGGATGGTGCAGGAGGATCACAATGTGGAGACCCTATCGAAACTGCCTCTCACTCCTATACGCTCACTTTATACCTCTCATATTAAATAAATAAGTAAATAAATAAATAAATAAGAAATATTTCCCTGGCATGATTAAATATTGGCTTACATATTATCTGTATATAAAAACAGAATAACCAGAACCTATATTCCTGTACACAACGCCACTATGAGTCATGAATCTACTACAAATGCCATTGCCAAGGAACTGTCTTTCTTTTAGTCAATAAACATAACCCGATTTTATCTAAAAGAACATGTTTGTGTACTCTTTATATGTATCAAGGACCAATGTCCAAAAAAGCATTCTAGGACCAGCAGGCAGTGTGGAAGTTAAGGCACTGGATTCTACATGGCCAGCTTTGTGGTTCGAGTCCTGGACCCAGTGACGAGAATCATGACAGATGCATGTGCGTCCATGCGAAAATCCTGCAAGGGGAGTAGAGAAGGGATTGTGTCATGGCCTATCCCCCTGCGGGAATTGGCGAGCACATGTACTCTACAGCAAAAACTGAAAAAAAAAAAAAAATCAGAAGTGTTCTAACTAGTTAAGAATTGACATAATGTGATTTCTTCAACATTCAAGTAACAGTACAAATGCCAATAAATAAACTGCTATAGTAGCCACAGCTTTCATTTTAGCAAGAAAAACAAACAAACAAAAAGATGCAGAATGGGATGACATACTGTGACATACTTACATAGGAAGGCATCGGACTTATTCTGCAGGATATACCACCCTTTGTCGGCTACTGCTATGATGGGCGGGATTCGACTGTTGTATCTGTAATGCCATCTTTCCGGAATCTCTTCTCTTTTGTAAACGGTAAGATTCGGATGTGCATGAGCTAGTGCTTCATAGACTTCATCAAATTTACCTACACCGGAGGGAGGAGAGGCACTCAGAGCAAGATACTCATTGCCACAATTGAGCAAAAACCATGGACAACAGGTTCTATACTACAGAGGCAAAAAAAGCCAGCACGGTGAACATAATGGAGTTCAGCTGGACACGTTAGAATGCCGTCCCACTAGGGAAAAGAATCTTCAGGGGAAAAAGAAACCATTCATCTTCTGTTGTAAATTCACCTTATGGAATTCAGAAGACATTCTATCCATACATAACCAGACATCTCTAATCCGTCATCGAAAGACTTACACACATACATACACTCCTATGTATCAATTACTGGCACCAAGTAACATGTCTGGAGTACTGCACTACCCACATAAAAACAGAGCGCTAGATTCTGGTAGTCATGAGTGCAGAGTTAGAGAGTCTTTAGACAAGAAATGTGGTTAAGTGTAGGGTTGAGGCTAGGAAAGACAGACTGGAGGTGGAAAACAACTCGTAAAGTGGAAAGGTACTAAAAACACTGGAGGTATTGCAAAAGTACTCCCCGTAGCTGTAAATGTGACCAAACCTGGGCACTGTCTTCGATTATTTTCTTATTTTTCAAATCCATTTGCTCAGACTTCATTTCTATCTTCCACACCCCAAAAAGAAAACAGCATTCCAATTTTATAAGGGAACTCAAAATAAGGTTACTCTGATTTTTCTTAAATAGTGACAAGGAAAAACCTGCTGTTTGTTGAAAACTTTCTATACAGGTACATATATATTTTTAAAAATCATTTTATTTAACTTCATTTTATTTATTTTAATTTGACCAGAGTGAAAGAGAGAAAGCCGCCAGGTCCAGGACTCAAACTGTGCTTGAACACGTGGGAGTCCAGCACCCTTAACCATCACACCACCTGCCGGCCCCCACATACATGCTTTTCAAAATCTTTTCCGAAGGCCAGTTCTACCTGGTGATAAACAAAAAGCCAGAAGAGCAGTCCTGAGTCCTGTTCTGCCACTTGCTTTGTTACCTCGGGAGCTTGAACATTTCAAGCTAGTTTACAGATCTTTAAAATGGAGACAATGCTGACATGACATGTTTGCTACAAGGATTCCAGGAGAGATTTGTAAAATATTTAAGGTATTGT